GGGTTTAGGGTTTAATTTATATATATATATATATATTCTACTAATAATGATGATACATGTAAATTAAATTCAATAATAAATGAAGGGGGTTTAAAAATTTAAAGCCGTTAGATGCTTACTTGCTTAGCTTCTCCTCGGTACAAAATTAAACTGCAAGTTATTCATTTGGTACATTGAGATTTGAGATTAATCGTTGTCACATCATTCTATAGGAAAATATCTGTACTTTATAATTTTACACATAGAGGTTGTACAAAATGAGAAATTGAAAAGGCATGTGAAAAGAATAGAGACAAAAATCTGGAACTTTACTCTCTTGTTATGTTTGCAGTTGCAGTTGCACTTTAATTTGCCTTGACCCTCCATATATGTATATCTATATTCTTAAACTATAATATATTCACTGTATACTACCAATGAACTATTAAGATTAGTTCAATTAATTTTAATTTTATTAATCACTCAACTAATATGCTTCTTTTACATATAAAAGGCATATTTTGTAAGAATGAGAAACATAAATTTTATATAAATAAATAATAGTCATTTAAAATCGAAATATATTGTATGATATAAGAAACAAATCATAAGTTATATGACTTGATCTCCAACATCACATTCTGAAAATTCAATATAATGGCTTTTGTGTTAAGACAATCACCCTGATAAATTAATGGACTTCTCTTCCATTTGAAGGATGTTACAACAATGTTCCTGCTTGCTGAAGAGATCAATTATTATCATGCATTAAGAAAAAAGAAATTCAGCTTTGGTTTATAAATCAATGGACATCACTATCAGAATTCAGAAACTCAAAAACTCTCTTCTATGGCTAAATTGCACTTGCTTTGCACCTCTTTTCTCTATTCTCATAAACATCTTCCTCCATATCCTGCGCTTCTGAATAGTGCTTGCTTTATATCTTCGCAACTCATAACTGTGTCATGCTTCACTTCCTATCAAATAACAAAATTGATCACTCAATTGTTCAACAAAAATATCATATAGGCATGAACACAACAACTACAACAAAGAATTTTTAGACAGTGCCAAAAAACCATCGTACTAATAGAGTAATAGTCCATCCTTTAATGAAACTCAAATCATACTTTTCATCATCTCATGTTCTTTTGTATCTCAATTTTAGAATGCACTATAATAAAATAGGACTTGTATATTCTCTTTTCATTTTAACACTATCTAATGTATGTACCTCTGAGCAAGAAGCTTGCACCGTGAAATCATTGAAACAGCTAATAACGCATTGTTGGATCTCAAGGCCTAACGTTTCCAAGGTGTTAACTGTAGACAACAACAAGCCTGGCTTCCCTGCACAGCAGATCTCTACCCTTGTGTTGACATTTCTCCTCTCCACATCAAACTGCACCAAATCACAATTGGTATCCGTCAATGGAGATTTATTTGACCTCAAAAGAATCTTGGTAAAGAAAACTGGTTGAATTCAAGATCTAACATCAACTAGTGATATAGTTATAATACTAAGTAATAAATAAATCTGGATTTTGAAATTAAGTTAGGTAGAAACTCAAATTCTAAGAAACTAAAGGTTTTGAATTCAAATTGTTAATATACAATTGTATTATACTTAAAAAGAGAGTTTTATCATTCATAATAATCTTATTTATAACTCGACTCGAATAGTATTATCTCTGTCAGAGTATAACTATAACTATGGTCTATACCAAAAATAAATCCTAAGCCAAAAAATACACATACCTTGGGGGAATTTCTCAGAAAGATTTCCTTTGACTTTAAATCCTTGAAAATATCAGCCATGTTGGAATCTACTTCTATTTCTTGTTTCAAATCGTTAATCTTTTCCAAGAGCTCTTTCATATAATCAATAGTGTCTCCAAGTATAGCTGTTCTGTCCATCTGTGAGAAGCATTTTCAACGAACAAATTAGCACTTATGTTGCATACACATGACCACAAACCATAGTAGTTCCACATGTGATTTTGCAATCTAGTTCTCATAATAATAATAATGACTCATTAATTCCCACTTCATACCTTGCTTATCTTAGGGACAATTGATCTTAGCATGGAGAGCCTATCATTCAGTCTCTTTCTTCTTCTCCTCTCTGCCATTAGGTTCTTGGAAGGCTGCCCCTGAAGCTTCTTTTCCCTATTATCCTTTCTTTCCACACATGAATCTGTGTTGAAAACTGGCATTTCAGGGGAATGGTTTGGCTCCATTTTGCATGTGGTTTGAAGGTCCAAACAATGAAGCTCTTCCCCTAGCAAACCCGGATCTTCTTCTTCCATCATGGACAACGGATAATCTTCTTGAGCCAGAAATGGAGGGGTTGGAGTATCAAGGGTATTGTAAGATGATGAATCTATAATTTGTGGTGCAGAAAACTCATCAAGTAAGGAACTATAGATTTCATTGAAGGTGTAGTAGTCGTTGTTGTAACTTTGAGGAACTTCTTGGCAAGATAAAGAATTTGGAGCAAAAGCATGATGAGAGTTTTGATCAAAACAATAATCAAAACTCCAGCCACTAGAGAAAAGCTCGTTTTCTTGTGAACATGGATTGGTATCCCATGGTTTTAGAGTCATAAATTCTTCCAAGAAATCATTATCATGGTGGAGCTCCATTCTCTCTCTCTTCTCTGTTGTGATGGCTAATTATTTAGGAAATACCTTGAGAGAAAAGAGTACCAAGTTGAAGCATTTATAAGGGCACACAGAAAAAGCTTATTGCAAATTGCTTATTATATGCATTATAATACGTATTATATGATATGATATTAATTTGCACCTATACCCTAAAACCGAAATGGAATCTGCTTTTCACATTACATCTCTCTCTAGATCTTTTCCCCTCAGGGGGCCATTTATGTCTTTTTCACCGAAATTTCTACAACCAAAACCACATTAAATATATAATTGGAATTGTTGGGAAACTTTGACCCTCAGACCTGTCTGAAACCGAAAGGAATTGGAGTTAACATCATAAAACCCTCTCAGGTTCTTAGCATCTTAAAAGTTCAACAAAAAACCAACCCTCCATCTCTCTATTTCTCACACCTTGAAGAAGATTACAGAGTTGGGTCCCACTCCCTATAAGCTTCCAAACTTTGGCTTAGTTCACAAATTCAAATTGGTTGGTGATATTTTTTTGTTCTTTTCTGCTCTATGGCTCTATACCTCTCCTATCCAATATATATACTCAATACAAATTGTCCAAACTTGTAAAATAATAAATTAGACTATATATTATCTTTGTAACTTCAGTTTTCTATTCAAAGGGGTGAAGCTATAAGCATATAGAATTAGAATCTCCATTCTTACCCCACCTGGCAATTGTAGACAATTTTGTATGTCTATGACAATATTTTTACGTACACGAATACAATAATAGTAGTGTGAATGCAACCACGTAGTGTTTTTTAAACGGATCTTCTTTGGCTTATGTATTTGAACTTTAGCTACTTTACGAATATGCAAATATCATGATCAATTTTTTGCTTCCCCTTTTGACTTATCCTGTCTTCTACACACTACTGACCTATTTCCTGTATGGAAATTGTTTGTATGTAGGGATTCCCTATTCGTCTTTCTTCTAGTTTTGGCTCTATTACTTGATCTTGATCCACATGATTATACTTTGGATAGATTCATTATTGCTGTTATCATAGTTGTCGTAATACAATAGCGGCTTTTATTGGCTGGTGGGGTTATGAAAACTAACTTTCAAGTCGCGAAATAAATGAGCTTCATATATACATTGTATGCATACATAACGCAAGGTCCACGTACCTGTTTTACTCGTAGCTTCTATGTTAGTAACCTATAAGCCTAGCAATAATCCACAATACATGATGGCCACTTGATTCGCAACTTGCAAGTTGATATTTTAAATTGCGCGTAGATTATATGTATAAATTACACGTTGATCAACTAGTACGAGTTATTTTGTAAAGTAATTTACAAATTGATTTTGTAAAATTAGATTAGGTTCTAATCTTTTTTCTTAAAATGGTATGAGAATTTATTCTAGTAATTATCAATAGTTGTTAAATTTATTAGACCTCCCATTATCACATCATCTATAAATATTTAATTTTAGAAACTTCACGATGTTTAGTTCTTAATGTAATAAGTGTGTTGGAAAGTTTCAAAATACTTGATGAGAGAACTTTGCCATTATTTTGTGATAATTAAACATACACATTATTATGATATAAAAGACCACTCGTCTAAATTGGAATACTTACAATTTCAAATTTTCATAAGTCTTAAAAATTGAAGCTTGTCAACCAAAAAAAAAAAAGGAAGAAAAACAAAGTTGGTTCTTAATTGTCCCTTGACGAAGGGTTAGTGAATAGTAAGGTTAATCTCATTGTCAATCACAAAAGTCGACCATGGTTAATTAAGATTAAGGGAATGTATTTTGAAAAATATAAGTTATGAAAATCAATTATTAAAATTGTGATAAAATATATATTCATATGTATAATAAATTACTATAAAATTATTTAAATTTTAATTATTGATTTTTCAATGAAATTATATGTAGTTTTGAGCTCTAAAATGCACCCTTCACTTAAAAAGGATCAATCTCACGAATAAAAGAAAAAATAACTTATGGAAACGCTACTCAAGTAATAAGTCATTAGTTATTATTGATCATTCTGTGAAGAATCTTAGAACATGCTATTGATATGTATCAAACAAGCTAGTCTACAAAAGAAATATATAATGGCATTTTCTTTAGTATATATAAATTAAGTTATACGGTGGTAGCCTTCTAGCAGAGGGATGGGGTACATATTCTTCATGTAGACTATATATATATATATATGTAAACTTTGAGATTTGTATAACATAATCATTTGTTGTTTACATATTCACTAAAAAAATGTTATATATAGTTGTATATTAAAATATATTATTATAGATATAATATGTATAAATATAAATATATTTAACATATATTTATATATAATTTTAATGTTGATTTTAAATAGAGTCTAATTAATTAATATTTTGAATTACTATAGTTTATATTTATAACTTTTAATAATATATCAACATATATTATATCTATAAAAGTAGGTAAAAATTGTTTCTATTAATAAATATTATATGAATTATATGATAATTCTTTTTGTAGTTGATATATGACAAACTAAATTTGATAGAGAAAGAGTACATTTTAAAATATGTATTTTTTAATTTTATCATTATGTAGTGTAAAGATAATGTAACAAAATATATCATATTTGCATCGTAACCGTCTTTTTCTTATATGCCACATTCTATTGATATATGCGAAAAGAATGACAAATAAAGTGCATAATCCACTTAATCAATCATTTCAGTCCACTAATCCACTACACGAAAATGTAAGTAAATCCTACCAAAAATAATAAATAAATAAATAAGTATAAAATAAGGTATAAAACTCGAAGGCGAAGAATTAAATGAATTAATTAAAAGATAGCATAGTTCTATTTTTTCCATTAAGGAAAACCAACAACGCTCTTTATTAGTTAAAATTTATTAAAGCTATACAATTATAAATAAATTTTATTAAAAAGTGAGATTTATAAATTTTTATATTTTTTTAAAAAATTTTAGGGCTATAATAAAAGTATGTGAAATATATTGCTCACACTATTCTAGGTTATATTTTTCATTCTCCTTTGCTTAACTCTGCTTGTGGCCCCATTGGAGAATTTGGGATCCCTTTCTCTATCCAAAGCCCACAGACCTGCAGGTGTTGTATTCCTCACTTTTTTTGGTTCGTCGCTGGAGTATCTAGGACCGACAGCAGTGACTAATCTCCTCGTTACATTGGAGGCACCTCAAAGGGTGGGATAGCTGGCCCCAAGATTTAACGCGGCTGCATACACAAAGCAGGATTCGAACTCCTGACCTTACTTAAAATTAAATATTAATTAAATAGCAATATTTGGATGTTTATATTATTATACGTGGCCACGATTTATTGTTTAAATGTACACGAGCTGGAATGATTAGTCAATAGATTATTGTCATAATTATAACTTTTTTGTGTAGTGGTGCGAGAATTAATTACATCTAAACTTTCACATAAAATTTTACATCTTTTATATCCTGAAATTTATAATTCTACTTTTACAAATTTGTATATCTATTGGGCTGAATTTTTGTATTTATAAAATTTTGAAAATTTATAACTTTTTATTATGGTTATTATAGAAATAAGTTTTTTTAAAAAAATAGAGAAAGTAGCGAGACCATTTGGTGACAAAATTAACTGTAAGACAATACGATCGATATCTCTCAGTTTTTCTTTTATATTTAGAAAGACAATGAAATAATGTTGAACAATATTTATTAAATTCTAAGGGTAGATACGATCAAAATTCTGAAAATAAATAATTGAAAGAAAAAAAATTGAATGGGTGTACTGTTGGACTCTATTTGTCTTTGTATCATGGTTTCGACTTTAAAGTTTGAAATTTGATAGATATGACGTTTTCTCTATGCTCGGTTGTGATGTCTTTTCTATGAAGTATGAACCAAATGATTAAGCAACGAAATCAATCATTGAGTACTTCAACAGATTTAAGAGTTCAATAATAATAGAGTACTAAATATTAAGTCTTCATTTTACCTTCTTTTATATGCTTAATTTAATATAGAAGAAAGAAATAAACAAGAAAGTGCAAGAAATAGAAAAGAAAGATATAGGTGAGTGGAAATAAATAAAAAAAAAGTAAAAATTTGATTATTTGATTGAAGAGGAATAAGTGAAAAATATGTGAGAAATAATATTATGTATGTTTAGTAAGATAAAAAGAAATAGTTAAAAGATAAAGAATACTTAAAAAGAGGGAGAAAAAAATCAATATAGTAAAAAAATAAAAAATAAAATATATTTTTAAATTAATTTTTTATTTTAATCAGTTAAATAAAAATTATATAACTAAATAAATAATCTTTTAAAATTAAATAAATAACTAATTAAAAGTAAATAAATAATTTTGAAGTACTATTTTTTATATTAAAATTAATTAAAATAATAAATTTAAATTAAGTAAATAAATTTAAAGTACATAAAACAATTAAAAAATTATACAAAATTTTGAAACTTTAATCGAATAAAGCCATTTGTATTGAATTGAAAGTTTCCAATAAACTTTTCAAAAGAAAATGTATTTTAATAAAAAAAATTACTTAATCAATTAAAAAATTTTAAAGTATATAAAAAGTAAAAAATTATATAAAGTTTTAAATATTCAATCGAATAATCGATTTCGTAAGTATTTTTGTAAGACAACTTAATGGAATAAAACTTTTATTTAACAAATTAATACTTTTTTCTTCCCCAAAATTATTAGTAAAAAGTCGTTAATAAATGTGATGACAATAATTTTTCCACATTATTTGTGTGTATATCAAGGTGGAAATAAAAATGTGTGTGACTCATATTTTTTTATTTCTCACTTGATACAATTCATACCAATCAAACAATTTTTTAATTTTATTTTATTTTAATATATTTTTTCTTCTTCCATCCAATTTCTTTGCTATTTTTGTTATGTCATATAGGGCTTTGAGAGTTTTTCTTTTTGGTGAAGGGAGGGGTTAAGAGAGTTAAAGAAAGAAAGATCACAACATTTTCTTTTTCATATATAATCTTCTTTTTGCCGATAGAATCTCAAGTCTTAAAATTTCAAAT